TGAATCAGTGTGCCAGCCGGCATCATCGAATTAGCATTTGTTTCTTAGTTACGGGCGTTTTGGTAGTGCATTACACCGACCCTCCTGCGATTTCGGAATGGCGTGTGCATCAAATTTTGCCAAAGACTCGCCAAAACGGCTACGGAAACCTATGAAATGCTAAAGCAAGCATTTGGGGAGTCCGCAAACTTTTGTGTGGCATTCACGTTTTAAAAATGGCCGAACCTCTGTCGATGATGACGAGCGTTCTGGACGACCATCTTCGAGCACAACGCCCGAAAATGTTACGAAGATTCGGCAGGCCATTTACGAAGATCGACGTCGTACCATCAACGACTTGTGCGACATTGTTGGGATAGGCTATGAGACCTGTCAGCTGATTCTAAAGGAAGAACTCCACATGCGACGCATCCTGTCTGAGGACCAGGAGCAGAATCGACTTCTCGTTTGTCAGGAGCTCAAAGATCTTGCAAGAACCGACCCCAACTTCCTTTCTAAGCTCCGTGTGACTTCTTCCTCTTCCCAAAGATGAAAATTCAGCTAAAGGGAAGGAGATTTGAGACGATAGAAGAGATTCAGGCAGAATCGCAGATGGTGCTTGACAGGCTGACAAAGAAATATTTCCAGGGATGCTTCCAGGCTTGGCAGCGGCGCTGGGATCGTTGTGTTCACTCCCAGGGGAACTACTTCGAGGGCGATGGATGAATTTAATACCTGAGATAAGTGTACGGGTTTTTATAGGCGCAGTCTTGAAACTTTCTGATCGCACCTCGTATTTGGGAGAAGTCTCTGCTTTAGCAGTAAAATCGATTATTCCACAAATCTGGTCTTTATCGACAACATTGTCATGCTTCCAATTACGATGTCAAGCGGTGAACGTAGTTTATAAACTGAAGGAAATTAAACATATCAGTAATTAACAGTGACGGAAACACAGAGAGTTGAAGTAACAGATATTTCACATTATCATCAACTAGTTCAGGATGTTGAACCAAAATAATTAATATAATATTTCGTTTCCCATATCGCCAATTCGATGCTCACAAGTTTTGCGACATCCAAGAGCGAGGCTCTCCATCACCTAATCCTAGAAACGTCTGTGTTTGGCAGAATAAATGATTGAAAATCTGCTACAGTCCCTGAAACAGCCAAGTACTTTCCCAGTAACATGGATACGTCTTGTTCTAGGAAACTTTGACGTTGCGGTGTCCTCCAGAGTTACATAATTTTCAACGCAAACAAAACAACACTGGATTTATTAACATATTGCACCGTCAAGGTTTTATCCTTCACGAGACGAGGGCAAACTTTCTAGACCATCTGTAGGCTTTCTTTTGTGTGTGAACTCCGAAACCTTAGGCGAATTGAGTTCTGTCGTCTTTCCTATTCTGCTAATATTTGACATCACCTCTGAAGAAATTACATGCTTATAGAATACTGCCATTACTGACCGTCTCGATATCAAAAAATTGCTGTTTATACGGATAATAATGTCATATAGAACAACAGTTTTAAAAAAATATTTATTTTTTTATTTTTGCGAAAAAAAGGACTGAATGTGAAACAGATGTCGTTAAACATTTTTAGACACAAAACAAAATATTTATTGGACAAGTTTCCTTTAATTTAAATGTCGTAGAAATAAGATCACCTACAGAGAGCTCTCTCACCCACGGTTCTGGAGTTCACAGGTACAGACGACGTAACTGTAGCTCGCCGAGACCAGTTACGGCCACCGAACACGGGATCAACATCTAGTGCAGTGTCACTTCAAAAAATTTTGTCAAATACCTTTTAATTTTTAATTCGGAATCCAGTTTGAACCATTTGACTAAATATATTAATTTCCCTGATGCCACTGATGATGACTCTTGAGGTCGAAACACGTATGGCAATAGTGTCTTTATTATAGTGTTAATAGTTGTTGGTTTTGTTTACTCCATATTCTAATACACTACAGGTATGCAAAGTTTTAACAAGTTTACATGTAAAATCTTCCTGTCACTCCAACTTCTTTTCCCACCAGAAAAATTGATATGCTTTGGTATGGACTAAGAACACGTCTCTCCGGCCAGAGAACGTGTGATACTTAGCCAAGGAATAAAGCTAAGACGAATAAACATTCAAAATCGCGTCTTACTTATCCTTAGACGACCCCAGCTGAAAAACACTACTCAGAGTTCGAAGCAAATTTCGTATGGTGAGAGCGGTCCTCAGTATCTGCTATTACCAAGCGAGCTGTTTGGAACGCAGCGGTTTTGAATGTGATCGTAACCACCCCCCCCCCCTCCCCATGGCAGACTCTCTCACACTTCCGATGACTGGTGACTGGAGTCAAGGTCACCTTCATTGCTAGACCGCGGTTCGCTCTATCGGCGCAAATGTTAGTGCAGGTTAGAACATGGCGCATTCGCAAACGGAACGTGTTCATCTTCACGACTTCTAACAACAAAAAAGTGTTTTCCTGTGACGGGTGGTATTCCTGATTTGAACATTATAATCCATCGACTTGCCACAACGGGATAAGAATGCGAGAATTCAATGTTGCTATCGACTTCGTCATTTTGAGTGAGATGGAATTCATGTGACGTAGGTAAGATGGAGTTTTAAACGGAACACACTGTATATTGTAGATGGCAGGATTTCTTATTATGACATGGAGTCCTTGCCTCTGAAATAATATTGCACCAATGTCGTGCCTTGTTGACTACAGAAATACTTCATGTCAATTTCTGGGAAGGAAGGCATTTGGTGTAGATGGGCCTAAAGATTTACCATCCTCTTATGTGTTTATTCTGATTGTATTGACATCTCTAACGAACCAACTATCTAAAGATGCCAGTAAGAAAACCTCAAATTGACTTAGCTACATAAACATACTAAAAAACATGTTGAGATGTTTACAAAAAAATGGCTTCACTCTTCACAGAAAGTGTTTACAGTAGTGACGTCATACATGTTACTCGGATCTCAGCCTGAGAACATAAAGTAGGACATCGCAGATTTGTGTTTGCAATGCCTAAAAGGAGAGATAACAGTTTGAACTTTGATGATATCTAAATAATACGCGGAGACCTCACACTTTTGATTCCAAGAGATCTTCGTTCCTTGAAGGACACAGTGACATAACGAATTTTGTGAAAAATTAAACATTTTATCAATTTTGGTTTCCGGTATTGTCCTTCAAATTCTCGTCATTATTGAAAACTACGAAATGTAAGTAATTTATACTCATTTGCCAACAGGACGGAGAAAACGTTTTTTAATGTGTTTTCATTTAATCCACGCTGGCCTTGTAATCCTGGGGTCTCGGGTTCGATTCCCGGCGGTGCCCGAATTTATAACTTGTGTTGGGCAAGGCCGTGGTCTAGGCAACACGGAGTTTTCCTCCG